GTAAGAAAAACGCATACCTWTATAATTGTAAGATCAATATAATATATACATTCATTGGTGATCGGTCGACATTTAAATMATTTGTGTACATTTCTTAACATTAGATAACTCAATAACAAACTGCTTTTACCTAATTTGCATAGTAAGGGATCAGAAAAATAACAATTTAAAATTGACGCGAGAAAATATACTTTTCTTAAATATAATGATATTTTTACCTATACAGGCYATCCGTGAAAACGGAGTATACCGACAAAATTTTTTTAACACTTTATCAATGWTGATAAATGATAATATATTATATTACTTAGTTCGACAATATTATATTACAATAATTAGTATAGGTATCGAATAAAAAATACTACACCATGATATCCAGATTTAACTAGGTCAAAACAAGAGTCATTCACATTAACATTAACACTTTAAACGAGTCCATAATAAAAGCGTGTTTAATCAACATTAAATAATTAAATAATGATTAAAATATATTAAAGAATTCATAAAATATTACAATGACGGGTAACTTCGTTGCTATTGTATCAACAATTATACGGCACCYATAATACCTCTCATTATACATGTGAACAATTGAAGTCACTTATACAAAAATAGGAGAAACAACAGTTTTWATTTTTTTAAAGTGCCTACTAAATGCCTACTAGCTATGTCTGTTTTATGTGTGTACACTGTACATAACTTTAATTTAGTTTTATTAAAAAGTTTAAATTTGTAAATATATAATCATTAACCACAAAACATTAATTATGAAAATGTTGAATTTATATTAGGGTGTAATTGATAATCTAATATAATGAACAACTATTATACATGTAGTAATAATAATAGAAATTAATAATTATATCATATTAAGATATTAAATAYTAGTGTGCATTGTTATTTATTTAAATTTAAAATTATAGTAGTATTTAAATAAAATGTAGTGATTGAATATTAAAAGTAATTTTTTAGTTTACCCAACTTCCTTTGGTTAATTTATTTGAAAAAAAAAAATATTTTTATGTTTTATCATAGTTTACTAAAGAAAATAATAAATATAGTAATAGAGGCGGTTTCAAATTATTATATTAACACAAAGTCTACTTATACTTGTAATAAATAATTTATGTTTTGTTTTGTCATTATATTATTGTTTGTATTAATTTCAACRAGTAGTTTTATACAATAAAACATGCAACATCTTTTCTATGAATATTATCTTTATTTTAGTTACACGAAGATTAACATTTCTATCGCTGTTGTATACTTTAATGATGATAATATAAAGTTTATCATTTGATTATTTTTCGAAATATAATATTTAAACCTTACCTGTTCGGGCTGTTCCTCGATAAGTTTGTTGTTTTCTTCTATCACAGTCGAACAAAAATATAAAATACGTTGAAGCTGTGTTGATATGTTGTGATTTGTGTTATCTGTTACTGACACGACCAACGGAGATTTAGTTTTAGTTTTTTTTTTAGTTTCTATTTCACGATCACAGAGATGTATACATATAATCTCTGTGATCGTTGATTGTATCTTTCGATTAAATTTTATTTCCGGTTTTATGGTTTATATTATTTTCTAGATAGGGACAGGATGCTGATACATTTTTAGTGTTTTTTTTTTTTTTTTGAAACGTCTTGACACAATGCTTTCTTAGCTAAAAATGTGTTTCAATATACCCAAAACTATTTTTTGATGCTTTAGATCATTTTTTAAATGTTAACTATTTTACATAAACCAATGGGATTTACAGTTCAATTCATARTTTATAAAATGCAGTATATAAATGAATAAATGTTATACCTCACAGAATTAAATAAAATATTTTTTTTATTCGTAAATAAAATAAATATGTTTGATTGTATTCTGTAATTCCACTCATAGTTTAAAAATACATTTTAAAATTACGTCCAAGTTAATAGTAATTTAAAAGAATTTTTTTTTATCATTACCTAATTAACTTATTCTTAAAGTAATTTTTGTTTACAAGTCATAAATGCATATTTTTAAGGTTTTTAGGGCATCAGTGCATCTGCATATAGGTCCTTATCGATAATGAAATATAATAGGTATCGACTATATTATATTGTTGACTTAATTTCAAAAGTAAATTTCAAAATAATATTAATAATTTTACGGAACTAAAATACATTATTACGTTACTTTTAAAGTTGTTAAAGCAGTTCCGTATCAGTACCTATCTTAGTAACTTTATATTAGTATACGATACGTTTGTATGCAACATATGTATATTATACATATATATGTATATGTATGTTGTGTATGCATAATATATTAATATCTATCAAAGCTAGTGATATTATTAACAACATTTTACTGTTATTCTGTTCGTTAAAAGGTGTCTATATTTACGATTTCCATGTTATGCATTTTCATGCGCTTAATATGGAAGCAACAGCGATCTTTATAATATTATGTACCTACGCCGAGTAAAATAATATTAATTGAAAACGTGATGAAAATTGTTTCGGTGTTTTATTATTGCTATTTCTGCCGAGTCAGAATTAATTTTCGCCGACAGTCTTTTAAAGTTATTCTCGTTTTGCGAGTAGTAATAAATTTCGTTTTTGTAACCACCTGCACAATAACCGCAGTACAATAACGWCGTAGTTTGAACATATTTTGTAAAACGTTTTCATTACTGCGCCTTGACTTGTTAACTATGTAAACTAACAGTATTGGTTAATGTTTATAATATATTATGTTTATTAAAATATAAATCGATATAACAATAAAACTCCAAGACAATATATACCTATTTGATTTTGTCTGCGGCCAAATGCCTAAACACCTATTTTCCAAAGCCGAAAGCTTTATATAAGTAAAGATCGAACAAAATGAATAACAACGACATTTATGTATGTATAATTAACTTTGAATAAATAATAAATGAAAAAAAAATACAATCCTGTACAAAAAAATCTATTAAACTATTTACGATATACATTATACAAGTACATTACTTTTAACTTAATTAAAATAATTATATACATGTCACGTTATTTTTTATGCAATAAATTTAAATATAAATACATA